AAACTGGGGGTGGGGGGAGAAATCTAAAAAAGGAGCTGGGGGGTGGGATGAGGGATTGGGGGGGGGGTCTGCCACAGGCATTTATACCTAACCAAACACAGCTGTCATGTGCGTGTGTGTGCGCATATATGTACTATATGTATGTGTGTATTTCTGTTTGTATATGTTTATGTATGTATGAGCTTATGTGTGTGTTTGGAGAGAGGGAGCAAGAGAGAGGATTATGGTACCACAAGAAATCTGGCACATTCAAATGAGGGAAAACACCACAAGGCTCTGGCTTGTACAACAAACACACAAACCCTCCACTCCTCTCCTCCTCCTCCTCCTCCTCTTCTTCTTCTTCTCGCCTTTCCACCAGGGCCTCCACAGTGAGTGCAGCCAAAAGAGAGGAGTCGGGCCCAGATAACTCCCTGTCTTATCCTAACAGGATACAGTCTGTATACAAAGGCCTATAAAAATAATGAAAGGGACTTTCGGAGCATCTGAAGCAGGGTGAAGCGGCGTATACAACCTCCTTTCTTAAGTGCTAAGAGCGTCACAATCCCCCAGACCCGAACACAAAGGTACTAATCACAGGACTAGCAATCTAAATACTAATTACCAGTGGACTTCTGCCGCTGAACCGGCCTTAGAGGCAGAAGGCTGTCACTTAAGCCGGGATAAGACGTAGTATCTATTATTAAATGACAAGAAATAAATAAAACAGACACTGATCATCTTTGTAAAGGCCTGACCCAGAAAGCCACACCATACAATTGAAGAGCTGTCCTATGTACACACATAAGACCACATATTTTGTGCATCTTTTGCAAGAACACAACCATGTGGCCAATATCTAAACATTTTGTAATCTCTCCATCTATATTTGCCACCCATCTTCTAAAAGTATCATTACCATCTTGGGTTTTCTAGTATGTGATCACTATATATACACACAAACACCCACACACACACACACACACACACATACAGTATATCAATTAGAAAAGCAAAGGTGATTTTCAGGATTAAAATTGTACTCATTCGGGTCTAGTCACCCCACTAATGTCCTCAAACTGATCACAATCACAAATCAGTCACCTCTTAATCCCTGGATCACAATCAGTTGAAAACCCCTGGTTTAAAAGGTCATGGTCAATACAAACAAGAAGCCAGAGCTGGACAACCCTCCCTCTCCTGTTAGGGAACACATTGGCTTCCTGGTGAAATACAACGTTCAAAGACAAGTGGGTAAAACATCTTATTTGTTTATTGCACTCCGGTCTGCTGCTTAATATGTCTGTTCAGTGATAATTGGGTATGTTTTTGGCAACACGCTAACATGAATATCGCTGCTGCACAGGAAAATGAGCACAGTACAAATGCTGCTTCCTTCATCATTTAAACAGCCTTTCCCTGGTTATTAAAGCACTTACTAGTAGTAGTTTGCAATGGTTAAGGCGCTGTGGCGACTCCTAAAACGGGAAAAGCTGAAAGTGACTTTCTTAGTAGTAACAATAGGCTATTCTATTTTTTTTTGTTCTATTTGTATGTGTTTTTTGTTTTATTTAAAATTTTATTTAATAAGATTCTAAACTGCTGATGTTTACAAAACTTCATAATAAATGACAAGCAATTTGATGCCATTTGTTTCAAAAATTCTAACAGTGTTTGCTCAAATGTTTGTGAAGGTTCTCTAACGTGTTAAAATGCTGTGGACAAAAAGGAAATAGGAGGAATAGAAGATAAAGTCGTACTTCTATCTCTCTCCTCTCTCTTATGATTTGGTATCAAGTGTCAGCATCTGTGTTCTGGAAAAACAGACAGTGTTGCGTGAGAGGCTCCTGCCGTCTGAGGAGCAGGTCTTTGTCAGGTGAGGGTGGGGTGCTAAATGAATAGATGGAACTGCAGAAGGTGGGGAGAGGAGTGTCTGGTAGAGCACAAAACTGAGTCTGGAGGAGTTGAGAGTACCACTGACTGAGTTAACCCCACAGGCCTGTCACATCCTATTCTCGGCTTCACTGAGCAAGACAGCACTGAGGACCAAAAAGGGGTGCGAGCACAGTCACATGCTCCTGGCTAACACACCAAGCTTAATGATTTGGAAGGGAGGACAAGACTAAACCAAACTAATTTAAGGTTATACCAAATGCACTCCATCAAACACAGCCATCACCTGATGATTCATTGAGTCATCTAGCTGGAGGTAAACCCAGGGTTGGCAAACAAGATTCTGGATGGGGAAATGAGAAGAATAAATGACTCACTTTACACATAAACCGAGCTACTGTCAAATGACAGGTAAAATTAAACAGCATCATGCTATTTCTCCACCTGGCAAAGAGACAATCCCCTGAACCAGATATCACAGTAACAGAGAATTCTTTTCAGGCCAAGAAAACCAGCACTAGTAAAGAGAAAATGAGAGGAAAAGATGAGGTTGCATAATGTGCCTCTCAGTGGATAAGGATTTTCTTGTTTGCTGTCATCATTTTGCCTTCCAAAAATATTTATTCCCCAAAGCCAAATTGTCTTCCACGTGACTGAGGGGTGGGGGTGGTACGTGTGTGTGTGTATCCGTGTATGCTTGTATACTGCAGAGCACACAGAAAACGCATTGTTGGCCAGACTCGGAGCAACACAGCAGATTGTTTTCCACTGACAAAGAAGGTCTGGTTTCTCATAGAGAAACAGGGCCGATTTACTGCCTGTGGCTTCAAAAGACTGGAAACAGAAGCCATTCTGAGAGAGAGCACACAACAGAAATGTTATTCACATTATTCAACTGTGTAAAGTCAGAGAGACAGAAAACAAGCCGCAAAACCACGCCAGCAACTGATGACAGTCAGAAATCGTTTACACTAAAAATAGCAAACTTAAATACAAGGCAGTGATACTGTCCTAAGTGAAGAGTTCTTTAACTACAGCAAAGCAAAGTGAAGTGTTTCTCTAAGCCTGACAAGAAGGCTGATAGTGATAAATAGCTGAAATGGTCAGGTTTCATTTAATAACTGGTCATAAAACATCCCACATTCCTCTCTTTTGTTAAAACTAGTCCCTGCACAATAGCTCTAACCTCTGGTGAAAACGGAGACCAAGGTGTTGTAGTACATCACATCTCCTGTTTGGTCTCTATAGATGTCATTAATTCTTTATGATCTACTGCCGCCCAACCTTGTGTATAGGGCTTCTCAGTCTCCCAGCAAATTTTCTCATCTTTTGACTTGAGCGATGCTGCTGAACTCTCAAGGTACTGTGATTCTCAGAGATGACTCGCACATTTATTTACACATTACGTGACCCCCCATTTGTTACCCCTGCCCTGATGAATACACGGATCTACAGTCCTTTCTTATGCTCAGAGGACACTAGTTCAGGATGAGATTAACAATTCATGAGTCCCTGTAAACATTAACAGGCCACGCTGAGCAGGGAATAAAGAGAGCTGTGAACAATGCATGTGTGTGCATGATGTGTTCATGTGTGATGTATGCAAGGTAAGGATGGGGGGGTTGGATCGGGGGGGGATTCACTGAGCTTCTGAACTGGAGCATAATTGCATCAAAAACACTGATGGAATTATCCATCCAGACTTTGGAGACCGTACATAAGCGCGACAGAAAAAAAAAAGGAAGACACAGAGAGAACAGATAATAAGACAGAAAATAGAAAAAAGGAAGGAATGGGGAGAGCACATGGCCGCACATGGCCACAGAAGGCTCATCAGATTTTATAGATTGACCAGACTAAAAGGCTGATCTTGCTTTTGTCCTCCTAAATGCCTGGAGGTGTTCGCCCCCTATGATCACAGGGGGCAGCTGAAGGTCAGCATATGTTATTGAGTGTCTACATGGGCTATGGCCATTGTTGTTTTGTCCCCTCATGAGACAGTCAATGCCAGACTGAAATTGAAATTGATTGGCTGCTTATAAATCAGTGAGGGGAAAAAAGGAAATGGATAGTGCTTATATGATACACAGTGTGGCTGCTTTGTGGCAGGGTTTACACCTAACCTGGTGATAAAGCTGGCAGTCAGGTTTAACAGGCACCCTTTTGATGGAATGCTCTATTTGTTAATTTAGGTCATGTCAAATTAGATATTGCTGCTGTTGCAGCACAATAATATTATTAGTCTAACCATATCACAAGTAAGGAGTTCAATCTCATCAAAACGCTAAACTAAAAGCCTCAAAACAGCAATAGTTTTTGACCTGATCTCAATTTTTTTTTCTTCAAGTCATAAATTCCAACTTTTTGTATTGCAGTGCTGAAATACAGATAGCCTGGTAATATAGGCCAAAAACTTTAAAAGGGTTTTATTTTGGAAGATTAGTGAAGGATCAAGAATGTTTTTGCAGATACCACAGACAGGTAGAGATCCCTCCCCTCTACATGATGTCTCCCACAAATTAAAGGAATCCAGTGGACATACACCTCTATTAAAATCAGAAACAACTTGGACGGTTTACAGATGCATCTGTGAATAATTCAAAACCACACTACTTATAGTGTTAAATATTCAGTATTGCTGGCAGCCATCTCATCTTTTGGGAAGCCACAGCTCTTAAACTCTTCTCTATTCAGTTGACAGACACCTCTTTATCAAGATGCCTGTAGTCTGGAAGGCGTGTAGTCTCTATGTAGCCTAGAGATGAGGGTAGGGGTAATGACATGTCTCATATCTACGTATAGAAGAGGAAACAAAATGAGGATTCCCACCTTGTAATTTAGTGGGGGCTTTGTGGGCCAACACCCTGGCTTGCTTTGTACCGATGCTCTTATCCTCTGTGCAGCAAAGGTAATCCAGGAACAATGCCTTATCAACTACTCTGAAAACACCTGGTGCTACAGATCAGCTCAAAGAAACCTCTATCAACATGGAGTATTTTCATCAGAGACTGTAACAGTCAAATATAATGTAACAAATAACAATAATAACCTCGGACGCCTCAGATGGCATCACATAAACATTTCTTTAAACACACAACATTAAAAAAAAGTTTAAAGAGACACTGTACCTGTAGTACAAGTGGTTCTGGGTTAAACGCTAAGGTCATAAGCAGCTGCATTCTCTCTGTGTCCTTGAGGTTTTTGAGTAGGAAACTGCCTGAGTCTTTGGTCTCAGCATATCTGCGGACCACACGGTCTAGCAGCCTCTGAGAGGGGCAGTGCACCAGGTCTGACCAACCCTCCACCACCTCTGGAGTGAGCAGACGGACATCGCCGTTGATTCGGGCAAATTCAGTCTTGTACATTGCCTGGACAAGGTCACAGCGTGGCCTGCCTGTGGCCCTCTTGCAGATTTTCTGGTCTATCTCAGCCAACTCCTGGTTAGAGCCAAGCCGTTTCAGCACCACTCGACGAGTGCCCTCCCTGGGCTCGCCATATTGAGCAAAGTAAACATTCTTGACATTGAAAACATCTAGAAACCTCAGGCGACCCCAGGTTTCAAAGGAAACCTGGCCATTCATAAACTTGCGGCACCAGCTGGTGCCAAAACAGGCGGGGCACTTGTTGAGGTTGATGAAGCGTCTGTCAGTGAGCTCATTCTTCTGAAAGGAAGCAAACAGGTTGTGGGTGTTCATCAACAAGATGACAAACAATCCCACTACCAACAGGATCTTCAGACAACGGTACAGCCGGCCAAGTTTGAGAGGCAGGAAGCGCAGCATGATGGGGGTGAGGCAAGGTCAAGGAGGAGGACGAGAAGGAGTACAGAGATGATCGTCAGGGAGCTAGATTCAATGCCTCTCCTTCATGGTGTTCCAAGATAGCTTCTAGAGCAGCAGGCAGGGCCAAGGCTGGCACAGAACGCCCATGCCAGTCTCTGACAAAGGCCAGTGAGTCATGTTCTCACTTCTTGGTGTTTGTGTGCAACTTCGAGTCCGCAGGCCTGAAATCAAGTGTAAAAAGAGAGAGGAGAAGGCATTACATCAGGGCAAATAAAACAAGCTACATTCATAACACCATAATTAACCTTTTGGTTAAGGATAACAAGTGAAAAAGGTTTGTTTAATTGTTCTTCTACATGGCCTGAAACTTGAATACCTACATCCTAACATACAATACCTCTCATAAAACAAAATAGTACTTCCTCTGGCATATGAAATCGTTGAACAAATTTGAATTGCTTGGGTCATTTGAGAGATTTCATTACTTTTTGAGCAGAAATGAGATGGCCCACAGCCAATGCAATAAACCTGCCTGTGCCTGTGTGAGCTCTTTCTCTTTGGGAAATAATTTCTTGTATATTCCCCTAATATAGGAAAGATAAATAAAAGTATAGAGAAGAGGGAAATAAAGTGTCACTTATCAAATTAAGAGGAAATGTACAACATCCTTTCCTAGTATAAATAAAATGTGCAGCACTCTAAAGATGATTCCTCAGGGGACCTTCCTCTGCAGCTACAGAAGTATCCATCACATTTCCTACGATGCACAGCAAAATAACAAGCCGTCTGCATACCTCAACAGTTACAGGGAGCTCGGAAATCTTGATTTCCCCCCTTCTCACTTCAAATAGAGAAATCTTACTTTGCAGTGTGAAGAGAGTCGTGCTGTGCATAGTTTAACCTTTGATCAAAGTTTCCCTGCTTGGTTTTAATCACACTTTGAAGTTGTTTCTTTAAAAATGGCTGGTGTCACTAAAATACCATTTGTGTTTGGGGGTGGGGGTCCATTAGGCATATTGATGTCAGTAAAGCAGAATGGTAAGAACTAAGCAGGGAAGAAGGAGTCAACAATCTGTGCTCACACACACTCAGAAACCCTCACCAGCCCCCATGGTCCCAAAGTCTGGCTTTGATGAAGCCATATTAGACCCGCTTTTTAGCAAGAAGTCTTATAAGTCGCTTTAAGACAGGGACTAAGGCCATTCAAATTAACCATCCTCAATTAGAGCTAATTAGGACATGTTTATTAGTGCAGCTGACTTGAGAGGGTATGGCTAACGATCAGGCATACTAGTGTGATTAGTCTGTGTGTCAATGGGTGTCTTGCATTTTGCTTTCAGATCAAAGTGGCTGAGATTTGGAAAGACACAGGGGCTGAAAGCAGCCAAGAGAGCAGCATTCACAAGAGATGCAAAATATAACCCATTTTAAAGACGCAGGACAACATTAATTTATATATTTTATAGTTATAATGAAGCACAGTGACAGTAATTTTAGGCTTTTCATGAGTCATTTAGTGGACACTTTCAGAATACACCACCTCACACCCACATTGTCCTAAGATATCTCAGAAGCAAAGAAAAAACCTTACAAAAAGATAATTACTCATGCATTTAGTGGACAAGTCAAATCAAAAGCAAAGCCAAAGAAACTATGTCCATCGCGCTTGACAAAATTCCTCCAGAAGGCCATCGCTATAATTTAATAGTGAATAGAAACTTAATTTAAATTCTGAAAGATTTTCATATCAAATTGTTAAAGGAAGACAGATTCAGAGATGGGGGAGTAGGAAGCAAACATGAAGAACCTCCCCTCAAAAACAGTAACTTAAGCCGACCCCACACTACAGGGTAATTAGATCGAGTTTGGGCCCAATTTGTCCTTCCTGACAATGGTGGTGGCGTCCCCTGACGCGAGGCTGCTCGGAAGCGATTCTCTGGACAATGTGAGTGTGAGGTGTTGAACAACCTAATTGTTATGTCCCTGACAGGATCGGAGGACCCCCCGATCTTGAATCCTAAGTATCAAGCATTTTTGATATTGGAATCCTGCAGTGTGGGGGCAACAGTGATTGAATCCTGACCAGACACCTGCAACAGCCAATGCCAGCAAGCTGGCCAGGAAGCTTCACGACAGCTTGCAATATTGGCTCGCATTAGCCTCCTCATTTCTTTATTTTCAACTCACACTGCAAAATGTGTAAGCCGTGCTGATTTCGTCTTCTAAGCAAAGACTTTCTCCTCTTTTTTTTTTTCCTCTGCATAAAATACAGCACACGAACGCTACTGGTTGACGACAAATGTCCACCTCCATGTTTGATTTGTTTGGAAGTCATGTTTGATCACGAGTTTCTGTGAGATCCCTGGTCCCGGGAATCAGTGTCCCTGAAATCATTCCGTAAAAACAGCAAGTGTGTGGTCCTGCCTCTTGACTGAATCATCTAGTGTGTGTGCTCTTAAGATTAAAATGTGAAAATTCAGTTAAAGCTCTCATTATGTATGTGGTCTCTCACATTTTAAAAATTGGTTAATATTATAAAATCCTCTAGTGTGGGCCCAGCTGTAGGAGTCAAAAGGATGTGTGCTATTTGCCTTCTACTACAGAGAGCGGGAGGAGGTGACTGCTTGAGGGGGAAACTGAATATCCCGTTGCTGTAAGAGCTCGATTCACCTGCCATTTAGCATCTGACACAGACGTGACAGCATGATCTTTGGAGCAGAGATGAGATTTAACTAGGATCAGGAAAAGCCTCAAAGAGTGCAAAACATAACCTCAGCCAGGTCAGAGAAGATGTTCAACAATGAGGCAGGGGAAGCTGGAACAAGCCCGGAACAAGACCCGGACACTGAGGAGTAATGAGATGCACAGACTAGTGGCTAACACAAAGAGGATCCTTAGTTTCTTCCTCCTCTCCTAAGAAAGTGCTAGGTTCTCACTTACCTATACAGAGTGTTACCTGGATTATGTTAATGACTGTGCTAACTGCTGGAGTGAAAGGATAAGATACATGTGGCATTATTGTTCTGTTAATGAGAGACAACAGTGCTGGAATGCTTAAAATGTTGACAGTGAAATCTGCTACCAATGGCTTATTCTTGATCCTGTACTTTTGCTTAGCATGAGGCAGGAGCATAAGAATTGAAATGCTACTAGATTAGAGTTTTTATACCCTGCTGCCACACACAAACTAATGGTATGAATGCAACCAAAACACTCAGCTTCATCAAAAAAGATGGCATGATAATTTAAGACAGGGATATTTTTCCTTGGTAATTACCCCACTAGACTGCTGCTTGGGAATTTTACACCTGCAAAACCATTTATTTAACTTTCTCGCTGTCTATTGCTGTATGCCACCCCATGGCTAAGAGTTATTTAACAGCACGTGCAGAGAGAAAGGCATCACTGTATAGGGCTTTACGGCAAGATTGCCAACTCACTTTTTTTTGACAAGGATAAAGTCTCTTTAAACTCTGAATTAAAGCCAGATGCTTTGTATTCTAACACAGATGTTGCCAACCGGAATAGAAGAGCAGTGCAATTTAAAGTAGTGTTTTCTTTTGGACCAAGTTCATTATACCCACAGAAATGTTAAATTAGCCCCCCTACTTTTCCTCCCCCTATGGTGCCTCTACTTCTTCAGCGCTCTGCGAGAAATACAAACAATACCAAGAAGAGAACCCTGTATAGAATAAGCACCAAATTAACACTCATACTGTACACAGCCACAGCCAAAAAAAGAAAGTTTTTCATCAAACTCAGTCTATAAAGTACGGTGGTGAGCACTTCAAGATAGAGGCAACGAAAAGAGGGCAAATCAAAGGATGCCTGACTCCTCATGCATGGGAGATGAGTCTTGCATTCAAAATGTTCCAAGTTTGGCAGATGTTAAGAGCCACAAAATGGCTCATTACTGGGACAGAAAAAGCTCAAGATGAAGCAATAGGCCCCATGTTGGCTTAAAACAGAATGACAAACGCCAAGACGGATGAAGATGGCACCATAATATTGTCATATTTCGACTTTTATTAAACTCAAATTTTCACAATGACCAGAATAGGAAAGTGTGCTTTGAAAAGAACATTTTCTTCTTGAATAATCTTTTCCACAGCTCATTGTGTAAAACTGGTTTCAGATAATGGCGTATGAAGGCAAGGCTACTCTCAGTGTAACCCATTTCCTTCACTGCACCCGAGGCTAAACTTCATTATGATATAATATCAAGCCACACATGAACAAGTTTGATTAATTCCATCGGAAATGCTAAAGAGAGCCCAAAAGTTCTGAAAAGGAATGAAATAGAGTTGAGGAGTAAATAAAAAAAGAGTGAGAGCAAAAAGAGATATAACCAATGGACAGCAAGGTCAGAAAAACTTGAGTGTTCTTGTGATAGAAATGAATGGAAAGAGATCACCTGAATACAGAGTAGCAGTTCTCCACCTCTGAATGGACCCACACAAGCATGTCTACCCCGGAGACCGCCGGAATTACCACGAAGCCCTACTCAAAGCTCGGAATAAGCCTCCTCCGACTCAGCCCCTCCCCTCCATTGCAATGTGCGGCTCTAGCTGGAGAGAGGAACTACTGTTGCCAAGGTTATTGACTGAGGGAGTCAATAATGTTTGATCACAAAAACATTCAGCCACAGCCGGATTTCCTCAGGACAGCAAACATGTAGACAGTGATGGATAGATACAAATGACGGTAACATTTGCATACCTAATGGAAAATTGAGTCCTCCGAATATAAGCACCGATTAGCAGCATCCCCACGCGAACATTAGTCCATTCATCTCTGGCCCAAACCGAACCCTTGAGGTTTTAATGAGAATATCAATGGTCTCTGCTTTGCACCAATCTACCACAGCTGTTTGGAAGGACACACTTGAACTGGGAAGCCTTGCTCTGGATTCTGATAACATGTTTTCTTGGTTTAATTTAAACAGCTGCACATTTTCACAAGCCAGCATCATTCTCCTGTCTGAAGAGTTGCCATACATTTACAGCTTATGTTAATGTTGTCGTAAAACAAATGTGTCATCTAAATGAAGCCACACTTGAACCGATTAAAACAAGCTGTCAAAACAAGCTTCAGTTTAAACAAATGGGAAATGTATTTGGATTGGGGGATAAGATAATTGATTACCTGGCAGACATTAATCATTTTATTTACTCCTAGTGTAGTTCCATCCATTTTCTAAGTTCCTTTAGCCGAGTATGGTTTGGTGAGTTTGGAGGTCAAAAGCAAAAAGTTCTCCTGCGAGAGATTTTAGGCCACAATTATAAGATGTTCCCCTGATGAGTGCTGAGAAACATTAAAATCAACCACCACAAAACAGTTTTTGTGTATTGTTCTATTTTCATAGTTCCCTTGTCGACTAACCTTGCAGAAAGGTTCCACAAATAGTCTTGTGTTATAGAAAATTTAATTCCACACACCCCATTCTATTCATTAGACTGTAAAGTAAAGAGGAATTTCTTAAGGCTCTTAGGACTATTACAAGCTTTATCTGGACTAAACCGTAAGAAATCAAGAGCAGAATTTTGCAAAGCGCATAGGATCGTGCAACACAAATCATATAGTCATGTCAGTTTAGCACACTTAACGTGTGATGGACAAATGTCTCACCATGCTCCCTCCTCATGCCAAGAAGGAAGACAAATTCATAGTAAATCAATCCAAGCTGGCCAAGTGGGAACTTGAGTGCCAAATAACAGAAAAAAAATTGTTCAAGTAATATCTTAATAAATCTAAAATGTTATTGGTTCATCAAGCAAATACAACTCCTATTAGCACCAACGATATTGTTATAATTGTACGTATTCTACATACAAATACCTAAAGAATAGGATATACTGTATGCTCAGCGGGTGAAGGGACAGTACATTTCCACATCACGTTATCTGCAGAAGCACAATGGTAACACTCCATTGCAGTTTTGTGCATTATATTACTTAGTAGTCAGCACTGAATTGTGTTTAGGCACTTCTCCCGGACACGATTAATGTTCTCTAATGATAAAAACAAGCGCAGGAAAAGATAAGCCGACCAGCAGGGCAGGTTAACATGCCAAACAGTCATTTAGAGATAAGAAAGATAAGTCTTGTAACACAAAGCAAACACCTCCAGCTCAAACTGTGGTAATAACAAACTTCTAGTTACCCTTCAGCGGATGTAAACATCTGATAGCGGAGTTTGTGTCGTTTTGCATTTGATCTTATCGTTGAATCATTACCGGGGTAGCGACAGTGACGCTCAAAGTGCCAGAGATCCTCTAACAATAGTGCATGCTGAAAAACTGAGACGGAGTTTTTGCTTTATTTAACTAGGAACCGCTGTATAAACTACTTCACGTTAATAAAGACTTGTTACATTGCAACACGGACTGCAAAAAGAAGATAAAACTGTGAGACAAACCTGTATGACTTTCTTCTTGTGGTTTGTAGTAGTGAAATGCTTAGCGCTCAGTTGATATCATGCTTCAAAGTTGCGGCTACTTACGAGGAGGGCGACGGACACTTTAAATCACTGCCGAAAATATCTAAACTGAAAACAGCTTCCTCAAAGCTCGACGAAGATCTCTATCAGGAAAACTCACTCGGGCTTTCCATTTCTAGCTCCCAGGTATCTAGCGTGCTAGCCTGCTAGCTTCTGAAATAAACAGTTGGGATGTCAGATCTTAACTCTTCATATACCGGATCTTTCCGACTGAACGACACAGTCTTCTTCACAAAGAACAACGACGTTTGTGTTTAGCTTTGACGTCCATATCTGTATGGTTATACTGAGTCTCTGTGTGGTCACGGAATTGCCTCTTTTCTTCTTGTCTCAGGAAGCAGCTCACTCCTCTTCCACACCACAATAGGTTCTGTTTCGAATCTTTCCAACACCAGTCTCTTTTGGTTTTACGACATCCGCTGTCTGTTTACGGCTGTGGTTGCTTAGCGATTATTCTAATATTGGCCTGTCTGGAACTCCGCCCCCAGTGCAATGTTTGTCCAAATTTCTGTTGTTTTTTTTCTCAGCACTTCCAGCACGTAAAAACTTTTGAATAAAATAGTACCATAATCTGACATTAAACCGTTACCGGGAAGAAAAAATGGTACTGAAAAAAAAACTACTGCTAATGGTAATTAAGCTAAATAATCAACAACTGTAGCTACATATAAATATTTGATGTACAAAATGTTATAGACACACCATAGGTATACTGAACTCTGTTACTGCTGTGGAAGCATGTGACCATAACCTTGCTAAAATCAGGTAGGTGTGTCATTGTCAAAATTGATCTGAATCACAAGTGCACTGAATAATTATGAAGTGAACAGCTGCAAAAATAATATATTTGAGACAAAGGCAATGGAAAGGGGTTATAAGAGTGCATGAAAAAGCAGCTGATTGTTTTCTTTATCAAACTATACAATTAAATAAAAGGTTGACTTGCCTATACACCATCATTTGCATGTATAATAGTGGCCCTAATTCAGCTGTATCAGTTCAATATTTGGATTTGTAGCTTAAGAGAAACACTTATTAACACATATAGCCATATGTAGATATTTCAAAAGGTTTTACATTATTATTATCATCCATCCATCCATCATTATTATTATCATTATTTTACATTTATGTTTTGTAACAATCGACACAAATGGAAGATCAAAATTAATTGTTCCAACCAAAGGCCATGACTGATTTACTTACAGCTAAGGGACAGTGAAAATAGCAATACAGTGCCCCAGTCTCTCACAATGGGATCCTTGAGCTCCATATTCATTAGTTTGTATTCACCTCCATCTGCTGGAAAATGAGAGGATGACACTGAAATTTGGCGCATTCAAGTCCTATTGGAAATGTATGGCTTTGTGCTGATAACTAACATTTGGCTCAGGCTTTACATTTAGGCTAATATATCATCAGATGGGATACACTAATGCCAGTTGGTTCCAGATGTCATAAATAATTAAGAGTTCACAAACCAGCTGCAATGCAATATATAAAGGTTTGCCATTTCATCAGTGTTTTATCACTATAGGCAGATTTCCAGTATGTGGTACACTTGTGCTTTTATAATAGTGACATTTTTCCTTTTGATTTTTGTATTTATTTTAATTTTGAAACCATCTGCAGGTATTCTTACTGTATGTGGTAAACTGAGAAATACGTTTTATTTGACATAGAAGTGCATGGAGAATATGAAGAGTGTGTGCAGCTATTTGGGTCTGACCATCTCTGCAAATGCATGTAACAAAAAGGAATCTTTCATTTGGATAAGTGCTGCATGTTGTGGCACTAGTGAAAATTGAAACAAACTCTAAAAATAAAGAAAACTGTGGCTTTAAATAGTTGTATAATCACTATGGCAGAGGGATGTGAAAACAAATCACACCATATGAGGTATTTTCTTTTTTTATGTAAATTTGTTTGATCTGAAATCATTATTTCCTCATTTCCCTCCCTGTGATCACACACACGTCTATATCTCCTCTAATGGTTCTTAGTTATTGGTTTTCCTCTTAATCATTTGCGTAGTCTGTTTGTTATTAAGGAAGTGGTGGTACAGGAAAAAAAGGGCTAGGAAGCCTCCAGTATTTTAAGGATTTATTAAGAAGCAGACACATGCGATAACATTTTCAGGTATGTTGTTTAGACAAAAACAATTAAACACAGAAACAAATTTTTAAAATACTATATACTGTATGTAGACCACTACAAAGCACTATATCCTGTAAATAATATTCCAATATATTGATAATGCTGAAAGATAACTTGACACTAATCCTAAATAATCCTGAGTCTGCTGACTCACAAATAAAGGTTTGATTAGTTGGTATATAATGTTTATTAGGTTTTTTTGTTTTGTTTTGTTTTTTTTTACCAAAGAAAAGCATAATACTAAAATCTCTTTTGTGCTTTATATTACACTAATGTCGATGAATATTTGCTGATATCCTTTTCTACATTTCTGTAGGCATCATATCAACAAAAGATTTGTGTAAGTTGTCATTTTTATTTTGGAGGAAGTTTATGTTTATTTAAATGCTACATATTTCATTTGATTTCTACAAGCACGGTTTTGCATAGTTCTATTATTTTTGTGACTGAGCAGGACATTAAGTCCTAGTGTTGCAAACCAATCACAGCAATTATTTGTTAAAAAGAAATTAGTTGAATTACTGACATGGCCTTTTGGTTGTCATTAGTATTATTGCCATTTTCTGGCTTGGTTTCATATTTTAGTAGTGGTATCAGAAAGATCTGTTATATCAAAGAAACAAACTAATGAGCCAGGAATTCAATCATATGATGGCCAACAAGCATGAGAGGATGTGGAATGAGCATATTTTAAAAATGTATTTATTAGTCTCAGGGTGATATTTCAACCCGAGAGAAAGAGAGTAAGTGAACCGAGGACCTTGCAAATCATCCAGGCCATGTGTGACTCTTCACTAATGGCTTGGACTCTTTGGTCCCATTGAATGCTGGGCTCTCATTAGCAAACCAGCAGAGGTTACAACAAAGGCCATTACATTGGTCAGATCATTCTGTGCAGCTTTCACGCTATTAAGCCTGATACATAGGGGGGACCTTGCAGGGAGAGATAAGGATTTTATTGCAGTACTGGGTCCATTATGTGCCACTGGGGAGTAGGGCATTAAAGTTTGTGGTCTGATTAAATTTAGTGTTGCTCAGCTGAAAAGGCAATTAGTGTATACAACACACCTCCATCCCTGACTCTGGTGCAGGTGGCCCTTAGAATAAAACCACCAGCATATGCAAAATTTATTGATCGTAGTGCCTGTAATAGTCTCTGTTATGCAGTTATGCAAAAAAAGTCATTTATATTGAGGCAGGTGAAAGTAGCAGAAAGACAGGAGCAATTTGTAGCTCTAGCAACAATTTCCAAACTCTATCATCAGAAATAAACATAAATAAAAATGTAAAAAGAAATACAGTCTTTCACAAAACCGCACATACACATATACAAATGTTTACCAAAATGCAATATACCTTTGAAATAGCAGTAGGCCTATTTTTATTCATTCACATGCCATTCAGGCTGTTTCAACCCCACCCCACACACACACACTTTTTTTTTACTTATAAAAATCAAGAACCACTCTCAAAGGTCTATGACCACAGCTCCATTTCAGCAAGCATCACCATCACATCTTGCCTTTTAGACTGAAATTTAATTGAACTGAAATTACATTTTTGTAACATTATAAGACTGTGTGTGATGTAGGAATCGGGAAGAGGCAGTATCATTTTCATCTGAATGAAATATCACTGTTGTTTGATCCTCAGAATGTACCCACAATAAACATGATAAGAAAGGAAAGGATGAATGACAAGAAAGGCTATCTTCCCGAATGCTTGCATTGCTCTGTATTGGCCAGAATGAGAAATAAAGAACATGCATAGTGTGTACAAAAAAAGGCCTTGCACTCTAGTTATTATTTGTGTTGAAGGTAATGTGAGTTGTTGTGGTTAGCAGCTTGGATTTTGTTTAATGTTAATCTCTGTGTTGTCTGCATATGTGTGGCCATACTAATGGGTATTTCTTATTCCCATTCTAATGAATGCTGGGGGCATCCAAGGTGAACGCTGACACAATCAGTTAGATGTCTCACTCTGTATTATGCTTTGCTTTAATCATCTGTGATAGTCTGAGTCAGGGCACTTCAACAGAATGCTAATGCATTGAGCAGCAATCACATTATAGGCAACCAAAGACTCTAAAGTGATGTAAAGCACCATCTAGTGGTCCAAAGTTTGGTGGGGATAAGAACTTGTAGCATTTCCTACCAATAACATATCATGTAAATGCTCATTAACATGTTTAATGTTAGCATTTTTTAACTGTAAGGTGATGATTTTTGTATATAAATATGTGAAACTCTAATTTTGGTAGGTAAATGGTAAATGTTGCTTGGTTAGTGTCTATAATCAGCTTCCAGTAGCAATTTGTATTTGTGAGAACGTGAAAAAAAAAAGCTGAGCACTGGCACTTACTGTAAGATGGATGTTTCGCATATTCCTCTTTGCCTAACATTGCATTTTTTAAGAGAAGACTGGCAAGGTTACCATGATACCTGGAGACTACTGTGACCCTGGGATTCAGAGATAAAATGAATTAGTGCTTATCAGATCTGCTGAAGTAAACAACGTGTGTGTAATATGGGTCTGTCAGTCATGCAATAAAGAGTTCTCTCGCTCTCCACGGAGCGCTGTCAGTCACCAACACAACAGCTCTGTTTTTTACAGGAAACCTTTGATCCTGTGAGCCTTTTCAATCTGTACCTGCTAGGAATCACCTTCACCAGAGCCTACATCCTAAACCAGGTGATATCGCCCTCAGTCATCCAGGTGAGGATATTTCCAAACATACTATAGTTGGCAACTCAAGTGAATCCAGCTTGGATTCATTCTCTCAAATTAACACATCAACAACACACAAAAGTCAAGGTGGACAGAAGTAAGAGAATAGTTGAAGTACTAGATATTAAATACTGCTAGTGACTCTTCAACAATAATAGCACAAGCTTCTTCTTCTTCTTCTTCTTCTTCTTCTTCTTCTTCTTTTAACACAGTCCTCAGATGGAGACAGGTATTCAATGTTTGTTATTAAGATTAGAAAGTAGGAACTAAACAATACTCAATATAAAGCACAGGTGTAACTAATAAAATAAACAGTGGCTCCATTCTATGCAGATGTCCTAAATGAACTTGAAATTGAAGTTGATTTCATTTAATTTTTGCTGAATTCTGGTTTTCAGCATGAACTTTGCATTAGTATTTAGGATGACATTGGGACGCAGTTACACTACTAATGTGTAGCTCTCTTGCTCTGGTGTCACAAAGCTAGATGGCACTCTCAGACTTCGAAGGAA